CTCAAACTCTTTCTTCTACCACCCTGGCGCCAGCATGACAGCTGTCGATGCCGAAATAATGGAGCTGCATAAGGACGATGTCTACAATTATCAGACAACTTCCACGACGCTAATGCTTCAAAGCGGGAGCCTACAGTTTTGATGACGAAGTGAGGTTTGGGTTACCTGTGAACTCAGATTGAGGGAGCTGCGGGTCGTGAAAGTGCTGGATGAAGAAGCTGCTTCCTCGGTCAATGCGTACGCAAAGCAGCTACGAGATCTAAAGCGTACCGTCGATCAGAGGGAAAAATTCGTCCGCACAGTCCGTCTTCAACGTGATGGTGCAGCCCACTCCATCCAAAAAAGTTCAAGCCGTACCACATGCAGTAGAGCTGGATGGTTGTCCCCTTGCACCGGTGTAGCACAGACATTGCTCTTTCTGACTGCTAGTTGCCTCCCGTACTTCAACCGTTATATGGACCGAGAAAACCTCCACGACTCGAGCCCAAGTCAAAATTGAGATGATGTCCACTTTGCATCGCTCTGGCCTGAAGAGATGGCATCCACGATTTGCTCAAAACTGGCAAGGATCCCGCAATGAAATTGCTGTATAATTTTGGTCTTGTACGCCTCTCTATAAAAAGGCCTAATTTGAAAAAATGTGACAGAGCTTTCCCGCCAACCTAATATGTACTATCCGTACTGATGAGAAAAAAGTCAAAAAGTGAGCGCATGCAACTTTTTCTGGATGTTTGTCGCGGAATAAAAATGAAGGTTATCATACCTTTGGACCGACGTCCCCATCGGCTGCTCCTCTCCTATCGTTTGGACGAGGTTGTCTAGCCAGGTGCTCATACGTGGTGACGGCCCTTCAGCAGATCAGGTGTACTTTCAGCAGGCAGCTCTTTTGGATGGATCTCTTTTCCGCGGAGCGTGGACGGCGACTTTTTCGCCGTGGTCCTAGAGTATCCCAACGTCAATCTCACCGGCACTGTACCCTCTGTATGAACTTTCTCGATTGATGCTGAGGAGGAGCTTCTAACAACAAGAACAAGTGTACTCTGCATGTGAGGGGAGATGACAACTGGGAATTGATCGCAAGTGCTCTCTTAGATTTTTCATGGTTACATTTAATTTCGATGAGATAAAATCGTCATCGATGGAGGGCCGCATCGACTGCTTACTTACACCGTCGACCTCTTATAATCCTTCACGCGTCCTCTTATAATCCTTCACGCGTCCACCTACCTACATTGAGGTAGGTGATCGGACACGTGAAGGATGTATTGGTATTAAAACTATAACAATCTTCAAAGCTGTCATCACTCGTGATTGCTTTCGGTAGGACCATTTTCAACAAGAAACCGTACACTCACCCCCGTAGTTACCGGTACCTTGCAATTTAAAGGGCACATTCGCGAAAAAATAAGGCTAGTCACCGTCTCAAATGTTCAGCCGGACGAATCCGGAAGACGATTTTTAGGCCTGCGTTTACTTTCGAATAATTGAAAAACGGCAAGAACTGCGCTCGAATGGCTGGCTGAATTGACCCATGCGACTCAGCCGGCCCTTTAGGCCCAGTGCCGAGCCCTCACCCGGTCTTGGCTAGCCTACAGCTAGTAGCCACTATGTTGGATGTCTTCTGGCTAGTTACTACTGGTTCGGACGGGGGCTTTAACTGCTGGCATGTTTTCTCCGCTAATCAGAATACTTAGCATTTTTTTGTGGCCTATTGAGTTCCGTTCCGCAATTTCTCCGGTCGCGAGACTGTGCGCTTTAAGGGTAAAAGCGTATTCACCTCTGAGGTAGTGAATATTTTTCTGGTCAAAAGTGGACGGAAATGGGGCTGGAGTGTAGTGATACCCATTGCCACCCCGCACTACGCCCTTGCTGCAGGATGGGCAGCCAAACGCCTGATCATAGTTAAACACATTTCTTGTCTCACTCACTTTTAGCTGTTTTCCACCGGTGAGTGAGTGGCACGGATGAGTATGGAAACGGCAATAGCTACCATTACTCTCCAGCCCCGCTCCCGGGTACTTTTGTTCAGAGAGACTGGCGTGCTACGGCAGCTGCGGTGGCACTCTTCCCACAGACGTCAAGGACCAGGATACACTGAAGTAGGAGCGCAGTTTGTGATGATTTAGGAGTCAAACCATCATTATAACTAATGGAACACTTAACAGGCTCAGACTACTGCGACAAGGTTGCGAGAACTCAGAAATAGGGAGAATTTTTCTTCTATTTTTTGAGAGTGCAGGGCTGAGGGAGTATGGGGTCGTTTTTCCTTATAACTCTGGATACTGATATGAAGGTGTAATTCAGTCCATCACTTGAGGATACTCAAGGTGTCACGTCAAGTCGCTCGGCTAGGAAGTACTCTGCCAGTGAACGCACGGTGGCGCGCCTAGAATGTCAGAAACAACGGTCTCAAGATGTCTATCAACCGCGAAGCCTTCCTCTTCCTTCCTCTTCTCTCCCTCCTTCCTTGTTTTCCTTCCTTCCTTCCTTCTCTCTTCTCTCCTCCTTACTTTCCTCCCTCCGAATGTTTGGTTAGAAGATGCGACTAGAAATGCTCGTGGAACCTCGCAGCGCGAGAAAACCTTGGGGATTTGAACATCCCATGGACATTTGAATCACTCCACAATTCTGAATAGAATTCGTCAACGTGACGTACTCGCGTAAGGATGGAAACTTCGTACAGAATATTCTTGGTAAATGTTGAAGGTCACTAACTGGCATTTCTTCTTCAAGCAAATGCTCATCTCTTGAGAAATCCTGAGGAAGAAGGTGCGATTCAGTGTGATTGCGTGTTGGTTTGTGACGTTCTGTGCAATATTGTGATATGTGAGGATTACGAAATAGAGGAATATTGAAACTATGTGAAAAACTCCTATAAATGTCATTAACGTCTGTGACTGAATATGGCAGTGTGTTAAGAAACATAGCCTGACTAATCCCTTTTAGCACAGTATTTGCCAACACTCAGAATTATCACATTTCATTCAGTCCTGATAACAAGTACTCATTTTTGACTGAATGCTGCAGCATTTCCAGAAATTTTATTCTGCTAATGCTTTGCCAAAAGAAATCCCTTTGTAGCATCTGGTTAGAGAAAAGGCTTACATAATCAGATAGGCGTTTCAAAATCGTTTAACTTCTCTGTGGAAACTGTAGTATGACGCATAATTCGAAATGAATTTCTTGGCTTAACTGAGAATTTCAACGGGGCAGTTTTACGTAAGGAAGAGTATGCTGATCCTTGGCCGAATTTTCGCTCGCGCCCTGAAAATCATATATCTCCCAGCTTGTGCTTTTTCTGAGGCACCAGGAAAGTATAGAAACCCTAGTTAGGTAAACACTAAATGCTATTGGCTTCATTGATCTCCTTTGCAATGAGGAGCGCCGAGATGGTTCCAAAGAGGGGTGTGGGAGATCCATGAAGGGACACCTTCCTCATATCTCGCCATCAACTTTGACGTCGCACAGGGTGACACGGTAGTATCTGATAGACTGAAGAATACTCACTTCACGAATGCTCCCTCCATAGGCAAGAAGTAGTCTGTTTCATCCGTCGCGCGAAGGAGTACCAAACTGTCATCCTCTGAGCTCAAGACAAGCCACTGCATTTGATTTAGCTCGTAGTTGCTGCTTTACTTCCAGCATTGAGCCGCATGCAGCTTCCTGGTGACTTTCCCTCTGATAGTGCTAGGCCCTACACGCCCAGTGTTTTAACAACGCCCCGCACGACTTTTTCATGGTTTGACCGTGACAGATACGTTCCACGTCAGGCGCCATGGGATTCCACGCACGTGGCTTCGAACTGTTACGAAGATACAGGGGCTGAGAAGAGCAGGGGGCCGTCCAGGGGGCCGAAGTGAAAGTTCACATTGTCATTCAACCTCACATCCCACGCGAATAAGTTTTCCGGGGTGGGGGGGGGTACATGAGAAGAATTTCTTTTTATTGCGCTCTTTCTATAGATAGGGCTCTTGTCAGGTGTACTTTATCTCCTAAATAATATCTCTGAGAGACTAATAATATCTCTGATAGACTTAATTTTGGGCGATGCAACTCAAATAGGTTGGCGGCACAATGCGTCCATTTGGCTGGCAAGAAACTTTTCCGGATCTAAGGTATTGTAGCCTTGAACATCCTGACTCTGTTCGAGACTGAGTATTCGAATGTATCACTCCAAAGCTGCTGCAAATGTCAACTTCATGAAGAGATTTGCATGATAATGATTTCCTAATACTTTACGATTCACAACGAATCGTCGCCAGTCTTTATTGCAGTCTTTTAATCAAAGATATTGCGGTTTATCACTTCGAATAATCTTCATGAAATTGAATGCGCTTCCAGAAATAACTCCAATTTGTTCCAAGGGGATTTCGACGTTTCCACTAAACTCTTCGGGGAAACATCTAAACAACTAACAGTTGTTTAAGGCGATTAGATAAGATTTGGGGAGATGAGAACGTAAACTCAAGCCGATCTAAGGAAAAGGAGGTCTACACAGTTGAAGACCAATGTATTCATAGAAACTGAACGCTAATTACCTTCCTCTTTTCACATTGGTTTGCTTTTACCTTTTTTAATGAACATATTTGCCTTCTATAGGAGAGCGACCCTGGAATAGCCTGGCAGAATCTGTTCTCCTCTTTCACCTCGACTTCTCCTGGATATAGCCGAATTTACCGCTATAGGAGAGATCAATTCATAACCAAAACAACATCGTTCCGTAGTAGAGTTGAAAAACATCGTTGTCGCTATTATAATGTAGTACTGAGGGAACACATGAATCTCGCAGCCGTTCGACGTCCACCCACATCAGACAGCACGATGTTCGCAGAGTCGTCGGAGTAGAAAGTGACGAGAGATCGTCAGAAGGACGAAGACGCTTGGTGGTGTTCGACGAGTGGGGCGTGGCCACGAGGTGGGAGGGACGGGTCGAGGCGGTGCGAGGGAAGCAGAGTTGTGAAGGATACACTGACCATTCTCGAATCCCTCCACATCCGCAGATGACCCAGCACAGCTTCTATCCGAAACCGTTTGAACTGTCGCTGTCAGCACTGAAAAGCGTCTTTGAATCGGACAATCCCAGCTATTCCAGTATGTTTCCACAGATCTACACAAATTGGTCCTGAGATTTCTATTCTACGGAGAGACAAAGTCGCCCTTAGCGGAAAAGGATCATTTTGAGATATACTGATCAATTTTCTACAACTGAATTACAAATACAAAAAAGGTAACACGGGGAGATTTCCCGGACCACCTTACTCATTAAGAAAACAACTTATAAAATAACAATTCGAATAGAAAAATTCTTAGAGGAGATACCACTTTTTTGCCTGATGCCTTTTGCTGAACTGAACTGAAGAGCTCAAAATTAGTCGTCCAGCGCAAAATGTGATGAACCATTTTTCCTAATGCCAGTGTTTACTTCTTGTCAATCTCAGTATTTGTTAAAAATGCAAGGATATTCTCTCTTTGCTCAATCAAGAAGAGTGAAAACTAAACTCATCGTGGAAGCGACTCTTTGAGCTGAGTTACCAAAAATCTTGTTGAAATCAACAAACGTCAGTGTTGGAGAGACTTTGTCTCGGAAGCGCTTAAGAGCTGAGAGGATCTCCTCGGCTTTAGCTTTTGATTTTATGGTTGCAAAGCAGCTGAAATATATTTTAAATACCACACAATTTTAAAGATTGGTTTCGTGTGAGGAGGGAGATTCAATCACCAGCAACTCTGAAAATTTGGTTTTATAAGGTAATGGCGCTTTTGAAGTAGAGTTGTGATAGGTAAGCCCAAGTTAAAAATGATCATAATCCACGTTCTGGATTTCGAAATAATCTAGCATTAGTGGTAAGTCCGGCGTTTCTCACGAAATTTCGCGACAAGGTGACAAATCCATTTCTTGGGTGGGAAATTTCCTGTTAAGCAGTCTTCCACGTAGGTTTCCATCCTTGTCAACTGATAGCTTTCACTCTGCTTTTCTCTCATTTTCTTTCGCTTACGAAATTGAGAAATTTCGAAAATAATACCGTGCATTGCGAAGTCTGCAATGTTTGAGATGATTTATTGGATTATGGAAGCTCGAGAATTTTTTTTCGAACTCATCGCCTGTTAGAAATCGAAATGATGTTACTATCAAAGAGATGACGGGAAGATTTTTGAATTTTTTTCCCTGAAAAATGAATGCAAATATAGACGGCCTTGACTTCTCGATTTTCTATAATCTCATCTCGATCAATTGCTCTCTAAGAAATTATGACAGCTTTGGGAAGTGCTCTCATTTACGTGGACACCATAGTACCAAACCCACTAGTTGTATTATGTGTGTCTCGCAACTACATGGCCGGCGCTCCGAATGTCGCAGCGAGTAATATTCGTGCAGTCAGCTGTTGAGCTCTATTACGGTAAGGCACTTATTGGATGTCTGTTGTTGTGTTACCTCGTTCAACCATATGTATCTGCGAACTATAATACTTGATCAGAATGTGGTCACAGCATTGGAGGAATCCCCCTTATTCAAAACGAATATCCCTTTATTCGTTTCCGAAAAAACTCCCAATTTAACAAACATTTGGAGGTTGTTGTCTTTGTAAATTCGACCCCTTTTTCGAACTCATAGATAAAGTAATGAGAATCGCGTGAGAGCTGAAGCCCATCAAGCTTGCTCTCTTCCTCGTCTTCGATTTGAGGTTTCACTCGGAACATGAGAAAGTGCATTTTTGGTACTACACGACTTCTTCGCTCTTTCCAGCTCTTATTCATAAAGTTCGGAGCTTTCACTTCACTCGCGGCCCTTGAAGGGAACAAATATTCATAACGGGAAATATTAGCAAGAAATCACTAGTCTGTTGTTTCACTTCTCCTTTAGGTTACTACTGAATATAGTATTTTGAAAAGGGGTATTCCTGCGCTGAAATTCTCGTCTGCATCCTATGGAGAGTACAGTCTCCTACAGTAACAAAAGTGATACTTGCCTCTGCATTCTCGCAGTCTTTCATGCCGTTTTCCCGTCGGCGCGCGTTCAAATTGTCAGCCAAAAATTGCCTGCAACAACCCTTTCACTCGCCGCACTGAGTGAGTGAAGGAGAGTCGCGCAATAAACATAACTGAAATCCGTAAACAACAATTGTTGTCGACGATGTCCCGTCGCAACGGGATCGCCACAGCCAGCCACAGCCCGTCACAGCCAATGCCCACCTTGTCCATGTGAGGGTGTGGCGCAATCATGGGTAGATGAAATTGATTATAATATCTCGTAGCTGTAGCGACTTACAAATCATCGCTGACTAATCGGCTACTAAACAAGTATCCAAGTTGTGGTCAAAAGGGCGGGCTTTCGGGTTGGTTGCGAAAACAAACACTGACCACTGATTGTTTACATCTAAGTGTATGATTACGAATAATAATTTAAGGATAGAAAAAAAGCCCACATTTCTCTGAAAATACAAAATGACCAAATACGTAACGTCGCAAATTTACAAGTGTTACTTGATTTTTTCAGAGCGCGTGCCAAACTGCCAGAAATGCGGTCAACATGGACAAAAGTCGCGACTGAAGGGACACAAGCGATTATGCCCGTTTAAGGATTGCCCATGTGCCAAGGTATGCCTTACTTCTTTGTTTTGGGCTCTCAGTACGTTTTTTGTATGCTTTATTTTCTCGTCTTAGCTTTATCTTTCTGGCCTCCTGTGGCCGCCGATAAGGGTGTTGATAGGTGAACTCGACCCGAAATTGCTTAACTTGGTTTCCAAAACCTGTTCATTCGTTTCGTTGAGGTCCTTCCGAATCAATGCATGTTGAGGTGCTCCCGTTTCGTGCTTATAACAGTTTTCCATTTTCCGCCTATGCTTCCCAAGCAGTCCGAGGCTTCCACCAGAAGAAACATCCAATTCAATGGCAGCGACAACTGTATCAAATTCTCTCCTCTAGCAAATTCTCACCTCTTCCCTTCGATAAGAGCCGCTTAAAGAGCATGCAGAACGTAGAATACATCATATTCACCCTACTTTCAACATTCAGGACCAGATTTTGATCGAGCCTGGCGTTGGCTTGGTATTAATCGAGTATCCCGAAAAATTTTGATTTCATAATAGCAGAAAGCTTTCTGGAATAAAAGCAGTACGGTTTCTCCCGTAATCCATTTCTGGAGAATAGCCTAAGCATTCCGATTTTTAACACAGCAAGTAGAAAGAGCACAGAAACGCGGATTTGATACACGGGCTGCAGATCGTGCTGTAGCGAAGTTCATCGCGCTTATATCTGCTTAGCCTTTAGGACTCAGAACCCTCCACGATCACTTTTCTCCTTTTCCTGTTACAGTACATATTTGGGAGAGGAACGTGCAATTTCATACGTAACATCCAACTTCGTAGAATTTTATAGCCGATTTTAGCCGACATTGTTTCCTACAGGCACTGAGTTATCAGCAAGTGGGCCGAATTTCACGTTGGCTGCTGCGTGGCAAATTCACTTTGCTACTTTTCGCTGTTCAAAAACACAGCTCACTAACCCGCGGAATCTCGCTAGGTCTTTCCTTTTTCATTAGCAGTAAGTCGCTTACAGTTTCGCGGACAGAATTGCTTTACGAGTTGCGGTGTGAGAATGTTAGATATAACGATGGCCATCGAATGCACGCCAGCCGCAGCCTGTGACGCCAACCCGGCTACGGCTCAATGGAACACTGCATGGTGTTGTTTTGGCGCGTGTGCACCAATATCGGAGGTGGCGCTCCCTATATTGCTGACCGGCACGAGAAATGGAGAAGCTTCTTACATACAATCCTTAAAGTGTATTTGCAAAACAGCACCTCTTCTACCTCTGTGTAAAAAAGCTCTGGAGGGGTAAAGGCACGATGATTGGTATGGTGTGGCTCAAGAATAGCACCAGGACGTTTAAATATTGGGGAAATGAAGAAAAGTGAGGTTGAAAAGACATAAAACCTGTCGAATCTTTGTTCATTGGACGAGCATACATATTTGATGGGATTTCCCGGTGGTATCTGCCAACAACCGCTTTAGTAGATACGGCTGCATGTATTCATATATACGAGTAGCAGTGCTTTTTAGCAATTGTACTTCATTAACAGGTGATAAGAGACGTCGATGTGACTACCCGGCCATTTGTGGGCGGGCAGTTGCAGTGGGCGTCATCGGGAGGGTCATATCGATGAAAATTTAAAGAAATTCTGCTTTATGTTCTTTTTCCCCCCGCGGTAGAAAAGGTATTGTGCCCGTAAAGGGGCACAATAATTTTCGGCTAGGCGTATCGACCGTGTACGCATTGTCGATTTGTCATACCAGTTGCCTTCAAAAAAACCAACTTTTATTCCGCGAAAAGTGAATAAAAAACTGAGCGAGAGGAGTATAAATAGGATTTTTGAAGTGCTGCTCTGTAGAGGCTGAAGTTAATCTTCAGTCCTTACGAGTCTGTGGCTGCTGACAAACACTTACCTACGAGTTCAACGCTGCACCATAAATTAGCATTCCTTATGCTCTCTCTTACCCGTGTGGAAAGAATATTTGCGTGGTGTCAAAGCTCCACTTGGAAGCCTATAGTTCGAAGCTGCTCAAAGGGGCCATCCACTGTCGAACACTGCACGATCATCTTGGACGCTTTTTATGAAGCATCAGAATGTGGACGGGCTGAAACTAATGCTATAGTGACTCAGGCTCAGGCTATATCCGTTCGCACTCAAAACAAATCAGTTCATCTTGACATCACTCATTCTAGCCGTTCTAGACACAATTCGACATTACCATTACTATTTACCCTTCACTGCCCCAACCATCCAGAATTGAGCCAGTTTTTGACCGACTTTTTTCTCCGTGGACAGATTTGGCTCAAATGTTGTCTCCTGGGGTAGTTTGACCTCCTGAATACGAATATCACATTCGCTTAGCCCGAAACTTCCTGGCGCCCGCGCCACAGGCGCCGGTGATTTGGGTATTTTGGCGCCGGCGCCTGTGGCGCGGGCGCCAGGAGGTTTCGTGCCGAGCGGATGTGATATTCATGTTCAGGAGGTCAAACTACCCCAGGGAACAAATTTTCAGCCAATTCTGCCAACGCAGAAAAAAGTCGGTCAAAAACTGGCCTGTTTTTGGAAGACTGGGACAGTAAAGGGTAAATAGTGAACACAAATCAATTCTCCTACTGTTTTTAGAACTCCATGTCTATTTTGGCCTTCTAGATTCCCGGGGACTTTTTCCCTTTGAATGTGGAACCCCCTTTACCTCCACACTGAACGATTGCGAAAGAGTGAAAAGTTTTTGAAAATTCAGAGTTCTCGAAAGCTCTACAATAAAAGCTATTCATGTCAGAATTACTCACTACTTGTTCTTTGAAATAGTTTTCGATTGTAGCGTGCGATTGTGTGCATTCCGAGTACATGATGTTTAAATCTATCTAGTACATGTTTTCGATAATGTTTGGGCTTCTCACCTGGACAGAATTACTCGTACTCATACGTTCTCTTCGACCAAATTGAACTCTAGCTGGTTTCCCGTTTTGAGCACAACTGCTGGGAAGGGTTGTGCTTTTAGAAACGTTCTTCATATGAGCATATTTCTCAAAAAGGATCTGATCCGATCTACTACTGAGAAATGATAGAACCCTTTTGGCGGGATGGACAGAGGCGAGCAGTCGTATTAAATCTGAAGGTCGAAATTCGGAAATTGCGGCCATGCACACGGTTGTTGAAACTAGCCAGGCATTGATTATTTAGAGACCTGCATTCTCAGAGGAACGAACTTTGGGTGGTCAAAGGCCGGGCGTCTTATAGAACTTCTCTCGCACCCATCCCCTATGCCTCGCGTAAGACCAGTGTAATCAGTGGTATCTGACTGGATTATTTCTAGGCTGTACTGGAATGACCATCTCCTGTTGACCAACCTGGAAGCGAAAGGGAAGAGGGAAGAGCAGCCTCTGGGAACATGTGGGATACTATGTTCATTTGTTAAAGGCAAAAGACCGAAGCCTCTAAAAAAATAAATTCTGTGCTTCAATACTTCCGAAAAACCGGAGAACGCAACACGGACTCAACTCCACCCTCTCTCCCTTCAGCCGTTGCTTGGTCCAAAAATCCAAAGCTTTTTTGTCCGCTAAATGAGTTAAGTGGTAAATACGGCCATTTTTGGCATGTTATCCCCGTGTTACGTGTTTACGAGTGTCAAGCATGTCACCGAACAATGGCCGGTTTTGAAGCAATATTTGGAACACTGAAGGTCTCTTGTTGTTTCATGCAGCTACCGTTTAACAAAACGTTTTTGGATGTTTACCAGCGGTACTTGGCAAACTCCCGAAATCCCAAATGAAACGCTGTTGTTGGGGTAACGAGACGACTCGTCTAGCCACTTAAATGGCTAGATGGTCAGATTTCGCCCATGACTATTTGCACCACAGTATCTTGATTACTTCTCACATCAAAAGTAGAGTAAACCAGTGAAGCATTTCTAGGAGTCTAGCGCGAAGCACATGCCTGGACCACTGTGGAACTCCAGTTGGTTTGACCTGTACAAATTCCCTGTAGCCTATTATCTCATCGTAATCATTAGCAAACCTTTTCCATACCAACGTGGGTAGAGCTGCCCACGTTGTAACGCTCTGCAACGGGTTCGAACTTCTTTTTGTTCTCTATGGAACCCAATCATCGAGAGCCTGGCTGGCCACGACTAATCGTTGGACCCGATTCCGGTCTGGCAAAAATTCTTTCTCACTTGCTGGACCACAAGTA